TGAAGATTTAAAGAATTCCTCCCATGACAACTAAAATAACTGATTTGCAGTGCTGTAACAAGGAACATCTTCCTCTCTCTTAGGATCTAATTCCTATGAAGCATTTCACCCTTTTTTAGTAGTACAATAATTTTGTCCAAGTCCTTGTTTCATGCTCTTAGAGCACCCCTCTGTCCCCCCACAATTATCTGCCTTTACAGGGCTTATTGGGGAAAACTAACATTTAGCAGTTACCCCACTGCTCTGTCTTCCTAAATTACATAGTCCCTTGGATCCCTGTCTTTACTTGAGGCTACTAGACTATAGCCATTTATAATGGGAGGCTGCTGGAAGAGAATCTAAAAGGCGCTAAGGACAAGAGGGCAATATATAACTAGCCCAACTCAAGACAACAGCAAGTCAATTTCAATCAGAGTTGCTGATTACTAATTCATAATAATGGAATGGATGAGTGACATCAGTGACAAACCAAAAGGGGCACTATACAGGCAATAAGGGGACTGTGCCTGTAGAGAATTTAAAAATAATAATAAAACCACTCACCAAGTTCCCACATACAGCCACCCCCACTGCCTCCCTTCCCCCATTTGGTACACATGCTCATTGTCATCCTGTACACTCACTGGAATACTAAGTCTTCCGACTTTTTTTCAAGATAGACTTAGGATCCATGACTAAAATGCTTGAGTGGTGTTAAGTTTTACGAAACATGCACCTTTGTCTGTCTTTACATGAGATAAAAGTAAAAACAAAAAATCCTTATGAAATAGCATATTTAATCATCTTAAAGCAACAGTCCTTAAAACTTTAGTGTAGCTAAGATCACTTTGGGGTGTAAATACAGAATCCCCTTAAACACCCCCAATTTTGATTAAGTGATTCAGATGTAAATGGCCTGAAGTCCTCTTTGAAATGCCAACCAGATTATAATCAACCCTTCCCCATTTTTCAAGATTACAGGCAGTTGACAGCAGTTAACAGGCCAGACTCAATTTGCACAACTGGATATTCATTTTGCTAGAATCATTTTACCTATGGAAAATTTTCAGGCTAGACTCCCAAACTAAATATGGCCAGTAGTGAAAAAACAATAAAAGTATGTACCCTTTTCACCCTTGTCAAAAGCAGGTAGTAAAAACGACTTTTTAGGAATAGTTTGGGGTCATCCTTATCAGTACACGGACACATTTCACTAGTAAGTAAACTGCTCTGAGAAATACTAAGATGTGTATTTATGCATAGATCTAGATTTTGACATTTCTGTTTAATCTTACCCCAAACCAAATAAACCCATTACACATTTTAGGACCAACACAAACACTGTGGTGGACAGTGAGTTCAGTCCTGGTTTTTAAAATTTCCAATACCTCGAGGCTCTAAACATAAAGTACTTTTAAAGTACATGATAACAACTTCAAAGAACATTTCCAAGCAGTAAAACAATAAAAGCACAGAGACTACAGTATAGAATGCAAAGGCCTAATAAGAAAGCCCTAATAATTGGATCCTAATATTATTAGTGAGATTACTTTTCAAAATTATCTCAGCATGAAGGGCACCTGGACAGGTGTTCCACACATTGTATTCTAACTTGTGCACAACAAAGAACAAGGAAGCAATTACCATCCCAGCTTGGAAAGAGTAATGTGGTAAGAAGACTTGCAACTTTATGATACACACTGAAGGTTAGGGAAGGAATAAAAGAGGAAACCCAGAACCCCAGAATGAGTAACTCACCTGGTAGCAGACATCTAGTAAACCAAAAGGTATCAAAATTTGAATTAGGACAGCAAACCTAGAAAGCTCATACATTACTTGAAAAGAAGTGGGATTAGTAGCTCAAATAAGAGTCTACAGAACTGATGAAGAATTGAAATCAAAGCTACCTAACACTGTCCATTAGTAAACAGAAGTTGATTCTGTAATAAACTAGCAAACTTGTGAACTTTACTTTGTTGGCCAAATTCTGGAAGGGTTCTGAGCTGTTAGTATTTTAATTTACCTGCCCCTTTTAGTTCCCCTAAATCTTCCATCACCAACCACCCCACAAACAAATAAAAAAGCTACTAAAAACAGACCATCACTTCTAGGCCCTTCTGAAATCATACTAAAACCCAATACTTTAAAAAAAACGCAAGGTGAGGGACAACATAAAAAAAACTGCAAGGAGCATGAATGGGATAGGAGACAACAGCAACAAAATTTTAGAAGCTACAAAGCTTATGAACAACAAATAGTAATTGACTAAGCAGACAAGAAAACTGAGTATTCTGTCAGCAGTGAAGATAACTCAGATTATAGCACAGAACCCCCCCCCCCCCAAGGGCTTAGCAATTGGCAGCCCAAGTACCTCCGGAGATAGAGGTAAAAGGGACTAAAAGAGGATTGGTTGTAAGTCTGACAAGCAGTTAAACCCACAGATCCTCTGTACTGCTGGACAACTCAACTCCCCCATCCTGGCAGAAAACTGGAGATTATCTGAAGCGGGTATGAGCGGGTGGTCTTTGGACTCAATAGGCATACAGTGATGAAAACAAAGGAATTGAAATAGTTTACTTGTTCAGATCCCTCAGCTTTCTTCCCCCACTGGGTTCCCAGAACACTGGCAGCCAGGTTTTTTACCCATCAGGTGGCAGAGTGGAAAGACGTCTCTGGTGAACATGACCAGCTCAAGGGGAGGTGGGGGGGGGGGACACGTAACAAGGTGTTCCCTCAATAAAATGACAAAGCCAGATCACCCAACAGTGACCCCATAATTGAGAAGCCCCCACCTCCCAGCCCCACACACAAATTCACAACATCCAATTCGCTTTTAAAATGCTCCACTCCTAAGTATGAGCCAAGGATCACCAAACATTTAAGGAAAATCTCTACTATGAAAGGCAGAAGCCGAAGCAACAGGCAAGTAAAGCATCTTGGAGAAACAAACTTTTAAACTTATTAATAACCTTAGAGATGATAAAAAGATAATGCATCCATGTAAAAACAGGTTGCTACTTGTAACACAAGTTGGAGGGTGTAGGTCTTAGATTGAGATGACTGAAATTTAAACCTTAAAAACAAGTTAAGTTGTAAAAACTGCTCACAAAGTATAACTGCAATGAAAAATAGGAAATAGATGTCCAAGGCTCACACCCAAATAATAAGAATTCTAGAGAATAGAAGGATTGGGGTGGTGGAGAAGGGGATGAAGAAAGAATCAGTTCAGTAACAATTCCCAGAATTGAAGAGCAAGTTTACACAACGACAGGACCCAGTGAGTGCCCAACACAATGGATGAAATTAACCCAAGACAGTGATGAAATCTGAGAACACTGGTGACAGATGTAAAACCCTAAGCGATTTTAGAGTAAAACTATCTCCTATGAATGATCAGGAATCAAAATAACATCAAGTTTCTTCACCAAACCTAGAATTCTACATCTAGCCAAACTAGTAATCCAGTTAGAGGGTGGAATTCACCTTTTTAGACAAGAAAGTCTCAGAAGCAAAAAGATAGGCTGCACAAAAATAAGAAAACTCCAGGATTCAGGAAAATAAAGGATCTAAATTGACAGGCAAAGGGAACCCCCCCACCCTGTCCAAAATGATGGCAAAGTTCCAACTCAAGTTGTTCAACAGTTCTAAAGGGCAATAATTGGAATATAGAAGACCTAAGAAAAACATGCAGCTGATAAATGGATTTGTATAAAGGGAGAATTCTTCAATTCTGTGCCAAGTTTGCAAGTAAACTAGAGCCTGGTACGCAGAAAAATATTCATCTAGGTCAAGAGATAATGCCTGAAATGGATCTGAGAATAGCACTTTAAATGTGACTTAAGACTATATGGAAACAAATAGTATAAAAATCACGAGTTGTTTTTCCTTAACTCTATGTGCAAGTACAACTTTTATAAAAAGTCAAAAGTGGGAATGAATCACCCCACCCCAAATTAAAACATTCAATTACTGTGGGCAAAGAATTAAACCTGAGTACAGCTTTCATCTCTCATTTTCTACTAATTAAATCTACCAAATCATGGGGCAGGGTAACATTGTAACATAAAGAATCAAAATTAATTTGATAGCTTTACATTAGCCAATGCCAACAAACCTCACTTTTTAAAACCTAGTTTTGAATCCAATCATTTTACCTCCTTTTTTAAAAAGGTTTTGATGTGTAATATTTACATAAAATAATCACAGTGCTGCTTAACAATCCCAACACAAATTCACTAAATTAGATCAGGGGTCTACAAACCTTTTCCGTAAAGGGCCAGAGTAAATACTTTAGGCTTTACAGTTCTCTGTCCTTGGTACTCAACTCTGTTGTGGTGCAAAAACAGCCACACATGATACATAAACAAATAAACATAGCTGTGTGGCAATACTGTTACAAAAACAGGCTGCAGGCCCCCAATTTAGATGCCTATGATAAAGGTTTAACTTAACTAATTTTTGTTCACTAAAATGCTTGCCTAGTTGGAGGTCAATTCTTAACATCAAACATGATTCAACTCCACATAAAAAAAATTACAAAAATCACCTCACTCTACACTACAGAATTAGACCATTTCTCATTTATATTGTTACTTTTTTCTAGCAACTATTCTCAGCATTCTGGCTTGACTTAGCTGAATTTATAGGGTCTTAAATTACCACTCAGGGTAGAACATTTATTAACATTCAAATGAGTAGTTAACTATGAAGATTTTCCAAGTTAGTGGGTATCAATTCCCTGAATCCTAATAACAGATACCAAAAGCCTTCCAACTGAACGTTTTATCAATTTCTATATTTTACAAATAGAACAAATGACAGGAAAAAAACTCTTCCAACCTAATCCTAAAGCGATCAGCTAAACTCCCAGCTACACTTTCTTAGAATGACTCAGAACTTCTAAGACATGTATGTCTTCAAATCCCAGCCTGGGATACTTTAAGGCTCTACTCCAAAAACTAAGACTTTAAGAAATGGAAATAAAATCATTCAAACAAATGAGCACACATACATACATAAAC